TGGTCCCCAGGGCTATGAAGAGCACACCCTGGCCCTTGCTCAGAATCAGAGGCCTGAACAGCCCCACAAACCTCAGGCAAGTCACACCTCCTCTCTGGTACTTCCTGACCATGCCATATAATGGGACTCAGCAGTTGACTTAGGATCTCAAATAACTCAAGGAGACAGGTGTTCTCACATAGAAGAATGGTTCCATTCTGCTTTGGAAGGTCTACAGAAGGAAATCCTTTCACTCATGTGTAATTCCACCTATGGTATCCTTTCCTATAAAGTACAAGTTCCAGTAATATTTATAAAGTGAGAAAAATGCTCCTGAAATCCTTCCATTTGTGATCTGCCCTTTTAGGTTAATTTCTTGCATACAAAATGCAGACCCTACTCTGAACGTCATGTCCCTAGCACTTGGGGCATCTGCAGAGTTATCGAGTACTACCTAGAAGAGGAGATACCAAAGGAAGCACAGAAAAAGGAAGGAATCAGTTTAGACAAACGTTATTTTTATCATTATCATAGGAAACATAAGCCCATTACATGCTACATGCCGGGTACTATACATTCATTATCATCTGATCCCCATGAAGTAGGGATCACAGGAGTCCATTTTATAGACATAAAAACTGAGGTTTGGAGCGGTCATTCAGCAACACTCCACAGGAGTAGGGGATTGAGGCAGGATCCCCACTCAGCCTGAGTGGAGCACAGATCTTGCACTATCTGATTCCACTTTGACGAAGGCTCTTGTGGGAAACTCAGAAAGAAACTCACCCAACCTCTGTGCTTTTTCAGGTAGGAAAAGAGAGGCCCAGGGAGGAAAAAGGACTTGCCCCAGCCTCGCTATGACTCAGTGTCAGCGTCCAGGCCAAGGCCCTTTTATGTTTGACCCATGTGGCCCCTGCCTCTGACTGCACAGAAACGCAGAGAGATGGAGAAGCCTTGGGAGAAGTGATGGGGGTTTGGGGAAGAGGCAGAGGAACAAGTGATGGCCAAGATGAAAGTGGCTGCTTTCTCATCACACCAGCCTCTCTCAGGGGCCAAGATCCCCTCCTCCAGGATCGTTTCCATACCTGCACTGGGCCTGTCTTACCCACTCCTACCACAGCCTGGCTCCTTTGAAAAGGCCTAATGCACAGCAGCCCCTAGGCTGCTGTGAAACTCTAAACAGGCCTGTCTTTGGGGATTGGGGAGGGAGAGAGGAAACTAGTCAAGCAGCTCTAAGGTTCCTTTGCAGGTATAACTTAGAGGAGGGGAGCTTGGAGCTGAGAAGACAGCGCCTACCTGTCTGCTCTAATGCCTCTATGCTACCCGCTATCAGGGGCCAAACTCCTCACCACCAGAGCCTGCAGAGCTCTGCCTAGCCTGGCCGCCGCCTCTCCTCGGCATTGCCCACGGGGCTCCCATCCCGGCCTCAGCCTCGGGGAAATGGGCCACGTTTGCGCATCCTTCAGGTCTCTGCAGGAGCTGGGCCTTCGACCCGGAATGCTCTCAGGCTCTTCCTCTGCCCCAAATCCAGTCCTCCACTTTCACTTTAGGCACCCGACCCCCAAGAACTAATTCCAATGTCATTTCCCTAAAGAAGCCTTCCTTGATCCCACAAAGCCCTCGGTCACCCGATTTTAACCCAAAGGCCTGGACTTCTCTTGGTACTCAGCACAGTTTGTTCTCACTTATTTGGTGGGAGTGTTTCAATAATATCTGTCTTCTCCACAAGTCTGTAAACTCCATGAGGATAAAGACCATGCCCATTTGTGTCCATTTGTCCCACTCTTCACTTCTTGGGGCGTGACACCATACTTGGCAAATAGTAGGTGCTCAAAAATACTGAATTAACGAAGGAAGGACTCGTGCTTCAAAAGCAGCAGATGCCACATAAGGAGAACAGTGACATCTAGTGACCGCTTTCACACTCCTGGGCTTCTCTATCTGAGAGAACGTGAATCAGCCTCAGGAAGACTCATTTCCAGAACTGACGTGCTGAGGGAAGCTGGCATAGCATCTGGACATGGGGAACCTGACTCCTAAGCAAAGAGGAAAGGAACCAGCGCTTGTCTTGCCACCGCACATGCCAAGAACACACCATAAAAGTCCTGTGACTTGGGGCTTCCCAGTGGTTAAGAATCCGCCTGCCGGTACAGGGAACACAGGTTCGAACTCTGCTTCAGAAAGATCCCACATGCCACAGAGCAACTAAGCCCGTGCACCACAACTACTGAGCCTGTGCTGTAGAGCCCGCAAGCCACAACTACTGAAGCCCGTGTGCCTAGAGCCCGTGCTCCACAAGAGAAGCCACCACAATGAGAAGCCCGCACGGTGCAACAGAGAGTAGCCTCCACTGGCTGCAACTAGAGAAAGCCCGCGCACAGCAACAAAGACCAAATGCAGCCAAAAATAAAAAATAAAAATAAATTACACACACACACAAAAAGTCCTGTGACTTAGCTAGTATCGAACCACCTCAGAGATGAGGAGACCGTGGCCCAGAAAGAGCCGTAAATAGGGATATTCATAGCCTCTCTCACCAAACCCTGGAGAGCTACCGACGTGCTGCTTTTTTTTGTCTGCATTGACACGACACTGGTCAGACGACCCTTGGTATTTACTGGAAGCTTCAACAGCCTCCTCAGGGGTCTCCCTGCTGCCACTCTTACGTTTCCACAGTTGACTCTCACCCTGAAACCAGAGGTTTGGGGATGTATACACGTTTGGCTCTCTTGGCTTTTCTGTTGTTGGTCTGGGAACCTCTGACGCACAGTTAGATGATTTGAGATGCACGGCTCGTGACTCAAGCTCATTGCTGCACTATGCATGGTTAGGCTTTATGTGTTCATCCAGTTAGTGTTAGCTGGTTAGCTACTTTTAGCACTTTCATAAAGCCCCACAAATCCAGCACCCAAACATCAGCTAGAAACTTGACTACCATCGTGTAACAAATGCTCCCTCGTGCCATTACCCTGCCTTGCTTGACTCAAGATTACCATCATCCTAAATCCTACGTTCACCACTTCCTTGATTCCTTTTTTAAACTATCTATTGCATCTGTATTTATTTTTAAAAGGCAGTGTATTTGATATGCGTGTGTGTGTGTGTGTGTGTGGTTTTTTTGGCAGTATGCGGGCCTCTCACTGCTGTGGCCTCTCCCGTTGCGGAGCACAGGCTCCGGACGCGCAGGCTCAGCGGCCACGGCTCACGGGCCCAGCCGCTCCGCGGCACGTGGGATCTTCCCGGACCGGGGCACGAACCCGCGTCCCCTGCATCGGCAGGCGGACTCTCAACCACTGCGCCACCAGGGAAGCCCTGTGTGTCTGTTTTAACTTAAAATAGAGGGAAGGGTATCATGCTATATAAACTATATCTTTGGGATCTCTTGTCTTCATTTAACATTACGTGCATCCATCTCATATTAAGTGTCACTATAGTTCGTTCATCTTGGCTGTAGTACAGTGTTCCACTGTATGCATATTCGACACCTTATTTAACTGCTCTCCCATCGATGGTCATTTGGGTTGTTTCCAGAGGGCTCTTTCTGCCACACAAATCTAATCCTATCAGCTTCCTGCTAACCATGTATCTTCAGCATGTCCCTGCCCTCCAGATTGAGTCCAAACTCCAGGACCTAGCTTATAGTATCCTAAATAATCAGGTGCTTTCTGTCCCCTCTGGCCTCATATCTGCTCTCCCTCCATCTCTTGGTCTCAGTCATGGGAAATTTCTATAGGTCTTTGTAGAGACCATGTACTTTTCTGCCTCAGGTCTTCTACCTGAAGATACTCTCCTCACTTCCTTATTCTCATCCCTGATCTGTCCTCTGTGAAACCCTACCTGACCACTCACCATGCACTGGCACTTTCTCAGCCCAGGAGGATGCTTTGGGAGGGGCACATAATCCATAGCATCCTACTGGGCTTGGTCCGTGGTCTACCAGATTGCCTTCTCTGGAGGCCCAGGGCTGTCCAGAAGTTGCTGCAGAGGGAAGAGTGGGGACCAAGTAGAGATGCTTTATCTGCCTTCTTCCTTACTGAAGCAGTGGCGTCACTATTCCTGGCTTTATGGATTGGGGCTCCTGAACACTACATCTGGAGAAAAATGTTCCATGAACACAAGTGTGCAAACCAGTGAACTAAATCATTCATACAGTCCTCTCAAGCCCTGACATGCTATCACTGAAAGTCAGAGAGATAGAAAGAGGAAAAAGAGGAGATATAATTTCATGATTAAGCATGTAGGCTCTGGAGCAGACCAACATGGAGCAAATCACTCAACATCTTACATTTCCTCCCTTGTAAAGTGGGCATGAGAAAAGGATGAACCATACGGAGTTGCCATTTTTATAAATTAAAAATGGCCAAATGTCAGAAATTCCACATGAATCAACTCAATATTTATAAGTAAATCACAGATCTGGAGGGTAAATTAAATGAGATAACCCAAGTATAGTACGGAGGCAGAGGCTGCTAGGTTTTCACCAAACCCATACCTTCGTCTCCTAGGCAAACAGATAGAATACATTTCCCTGTCTTCATCTGCAGACAGGTGTGCCCAGTGGCTGAATTCGAGCTTAGCAGAATAGGAGATGAAATGATGATTTGCCATTTTCAGGCGTGGCCCGTTTCAACTTCTCATGTGCAATCTCCCATGTTCTTTCTTCTTCCACAGCAGCCGTGGAAGCATCAGGTTAATGGAGCACAAGATGGAACAGGCTGGGCCCCTGAGCTGCTACTCAGAGTAAAGCCACCCATCAATCAAAAACTTCTATTGAGGACTCCGCACAAGAAATAACCTTAATTGTACTAAGCCATTGAGACTGGAGAATTTGTCAGTTACAGCAACTAGTGTTACCAAGCTATATACGTGCTTACAACATGGTAAGGGATCAATAAATGCTAGCCCTCACCATGCTGTTGATGACGATGATGACAGTCCCGATGGACAAAGGGCCCACAAGGGCAGGAGGTAGGAGGGTTGGTTCTTAGATTTGACTTAGTGGCTGTGTCAGGGGACCTCACCTCTTTGGTGCCATTGTCCTGGATGAGAGTGTAAAGTGGTACCACACGGTTGATTTCCAGGAGCACCGGTGTGGGGCTCAGCTGCTCCTTGCCCGGTCGGCGGCAAAGGTGGCAGGTAGATGGACAGCGGCCTTTCTCCTCACAGCGGATCTCCACACCTGAGATGAGCTGGTCATCAGACAGCATCTGGGCTGTCAGCAGGCCTGAGAGGTAGGTGATGAAGGGCATGGACTTGAGCTCCTTCTTGCTGCCCAACTCCGTGGTCTCTGGAGAAAGAGATCTAAGTTCAGTATTGTTCAGTACTGTTCAAAAGGTCGGACTCTTGAACCCGTTACGATGTGCTAAGGAGGTAGTCATCCCCTGGAAAGGGAAAAAAGATGACAGAGTGGTTCCTTCACGATGCTTTGGAAAGAGCACTGACCTGAGGGCTCAGAGACCAGAATGGTGTCTTGTTATACCATTTATATGAAATAACCCTTTGCTTTCTCTGGGCCTCACTTTCTTTATATTTAAAGTCAGTAGGTTGGACTAGAGGATTCTTCAAGGACCTTTGTAAGATGTAAATATTCAAGCATATTTTTCCCAATAGGAAATTCTTTTGTTTACTGTTAATTTTTATAAATTCTACCTTTTTTTCAAAAACTTGTTCCAGTCCTATATTTTTCATGCAGTCCCATGTAATGGGTGAGAGACAAGCTTTGGAGTCAAGTCAATTTCAGTTTAAATCTCATTTCTGCTGGATAATAGCTCTGCTGCCTTGGGAAGGTCTTTGAATGTCCAAGAGCTTATAGTGATTAACTGTATAATGTGTGGTTAACAATAACAACTGAAACAGTTATGACTGGTAAATGAGATAGAAGGAGATGGACCTGTCTGGAGAAGGCAGTATTTCCCCCTTCTTTCCGTGCTCCTCTGTCCCCTTATTCAAATTTCTTTTCCTCAGTGTGCTGTCATGTGCATGAAGGACGCACGCCCCATTCTGTGCTGTTCCTCTTTATCCCTACAAGTGGCGTTTCACACCTCTGTGCCTTTGCTCTCCCTGCCCTACGTTTCCCCTCTGCCTCTCCAAATCTTTACCACCCATCGGCGCTCCATTCCAATGAGACCCTCTTCAGGAAGTCTTTCCTCCTTTCCCCAGCCCATCTTCTCTGATAAGTATTTCTGCATGTTAAGACCCTATCTTGTTAAGCTCATTTTCTCACCTCATTTTCTGTTGACCTCTCCAACCATAAAATCAATTCAGGGAGACCAGGGGCCGTGTCTCCCACTCCTGTCCCCCCAATATTCAGTGCCTAGAATGGTGCTAGGGATATACTTGTGAGTTTATCGAGAGAGAGATTATACAACTGTGAATGGTTAGAACAATATTTATGATCTAGTCTAGAGGCTCCAAAATTCATCTGAGGAATTCCAGGGATCCCAGCAGCCACCTCAGCAGCTGCTTGAAGAAGGCAAGAGGGAGACTGAGAAGGCAGGACTCTAAACCTGCATCTCAGCTTCGAATAGAGTTGTTCCACTTGTATCTCTTTTATAGACTGGCCTTCGATGTAAGATTTCATAAGAAGAAAGGGCTCAAAGCTTGAAAAAGTGATTTGTACAACTCAGAGGGTTCCATTTACATCACGGATGATGTAAATGGTGTCCTCAAAGTTGTGCAATGTACAGTCTGAGTGGCAAAACAAGGTGGTCCTGCACTAAGGGACAAAACTCGGTCCAGATGGCAGTTTCTTCCAAGCCTGGTGAAATCAGGGCAAGCTCCTGCCTCAGTGGAAAACAGGGGCCCTGGGCACCGAGGCCTGGGAGAAAGAAGGTTGTCTCCTGCTTTTGCTCTCGGCTTGCAGTGACATGCAGCTGATCTGGAAATAGGCTTGCCAATTAGAAATACAAATAAACTCAGTCTTCATTCATTACTCTCTGGGCCCTCGGGCTTGGGATCTGGGCTCCACCTTTTCTGTCTGGCTGTCAGCAAATACTTATGAGCACAAGATCAAAGGCTCTGGGGGGAGAAGACAAGGCAAATTCCAGCTAACCAATCCTTCAGAGGGATTAAAGAAGGGTAGTTACTAAGATAAACAAAACAAAGCTGTGAAGAAGGCATCTCAGCAGCTGGGGAGACAGAGACAGTCTTATATACAGACATGTCAAAAGAAGATGATGATGATGATGACTTTCGGAAGTGCAGGCCAGAGGGATGCATTCTGGAGAAGGGGGACTTCCAACTGGGGAGAGAATAACTCTTCAGGGTAGAAGGTCAGGGAAAGTCAGAGCTGCGAGGACATTAGAGAGCACTATGACCCAGAGTTCACTAAACTATGGTCTGTGGGTCAAATCCAGCCCTCTGACTGTTTTTGTAAATAAAGTTTTATTGGAACACAGTCCCTCATTTGTTTATATATTGTGTATGGCTAAAATGCCAGAATTGAGTAGTTGCAACAAAGACTCTATGGCCCACAAAGCCTGAAATGTTTACCGTATGACCCTTTACAGAGAAGGTTTGGAAACCTCTGCTCTATAGCCCTTGCTATAGATGGGGAAACTGAGTTTCAGAGAGAGGTTACACAGGAATGTGGCAATATGATGGATTAGTTAAAGGAAAAACTTTGCAATCAATAGACCGTCAATACACTTGGACTATTAACCTCCAAGGAGAAAAAAATAGAGTGGGGCACCTTTTCTCCATAAAATATCTTTTGAAAACTACTGAAAAAGCATACCTTTGAAAAGTCTAATCTGGTAAAACCCTCCCATTTAAAATGAGAGGAAACTGTGTCCCAAAGAAGGAAAATGACTTTCCAAGGTCACATGATGACTTAGTGATCCTTTCAGCACATGACCCCAGCCATCTGTTAAGCAATTCATCACTCAAACTAAACTACTCTTGTTATCTCATTTTTTAGAACACAGATGCCCCATCCCTCATAGCACCTTGCCATAATTTAATTGGGAAAAATATGTAACATGGTGCTGGGAGTAAGAATTCCCTTGATCAGACAGACATTCATAGACATTGGGTTAAAGATCTATCTATTTAAGAACAAAATGAGCTATTGATCTTTGCTGGTCTGCTTTTGTCCAATAAATCTTTTTTTTTTTTTTTTAAACAATCTATCAGTTCAAAAAAAATGGGGTTAAAAGCCCATAGTCCAGGCTGAAAACTGAATTCTAGTAGCAGTATAGAACTCAAGCTGAATTTAAGGGCTTGTTTTGCAAAAGGAGGGCACTTGGGTATCATCTGGTCCAAACCCATGGCTTAACAAGTGAGGAACCTGAGACCTAAATGGAAAAAGGGATTTACCTCTAAGTCCCATGCATTGATTAACAACGATCCTTTTTCATAAAGATTGTGTCATACCTAAGTTACGACCTGGAGAAGAGTTACACCAGGGAAGACCATTAGCCATTCCATTAATTATTCCCCTGTAGATACTACAATTGCGAAAGCTAATTGCTTCTGATCCAACTTCACTCGGTGGCTAAAGTCATCTTTTCAAAAGGCAAACTCTATATTCTTCTCCTGCTTAAAACTCTTCCATGGCACGTGGAATGGTCTTAGGATGAAGACCAAAATCCTCACCATGGCACATAGGTAACATGTGAACGAGACCACCTGTCTGCCTCTCCAGTCTGATCTGTCATCCTGTTCCTCCCGATTCTCCTACTTTCAGCTACGCTGGCCTTTCTGCTTCTCGGCTACACCCTGTCCTCTCTCTCTCAGTCTTGGCACGTGCTCTTCTCTCTGCACAGAACGCTGTCCCCATCCCACCCTCTGGCCCTGCCTTCTCCTGGCTCACTCCCACTCACCCTTCAGATCTTAGTTCAGGGGCCAGGTCCTCAGAAATGCCTTCCCTGAACTCCATCCCCATGCCTCCGATCTCTGTTAGGGTTTCATACTAAAGATCCTCATAGCATCCTGTTCTACGTGTCACCTGTTAATGTCTCCAGACTATAAGATCCATGAGGGCAGAGACAGTGTTAGTTCTGCCGATTCCCATCCACTTTACGTATTACCTGGAACGCAGTAGGCTTTCAATACGATTTTCAATAATATATTTGAATACATGTATATTTATATACCCTGATCACTGTGCCATCTCATCAAAGCATCGATGAGTCTAAGAGCAAAGATTTGTGAATTTCAGGATTGACAATTAATTGATGGCTTGTAATCAAGAGGTAAGCTCTTCTCAAAGTAAAATTAGCTCTCTCAGTTGAAAGGTTGACAGATGAATAGCTGATCAATTTGCCAGTTGCTCTGACCTCCTCTAGGTTCTCACATAGGCCCTTGCCATTGAGGGGATGGGAGAGTTTAGTTAAAACAGGCTGTCTTTAACAGGCCAAGGATAAAGAACATTTTTGAAGAGACTTATCCTCTGTTCACATTTCCCATCCCTCTGAACAATGCTTCCAAAATAGGATCATGTCTGGTTTCAAGCCCAATTCAGTTCCAATGACACTACAACCCATTCATTTGAGAACCTGCCAACTGAACTCTCTTTTTTCTCCTCCCAAATTCCTGC